ATTAACCCCCCCCCCCCCCCCCCCACCATTTCCAGTCCTAATCCCCACCCTGTTTGCTTCCATAACAGCGTAGCGGCGTCTTGCGCACACTCACGTTCTCGGTGGTGCCGGTAATGACGTGCAGCCCGTCATAGGTGGACTTGATGTACATCCCCTGAGCGACAGGACAGGCAGAGGATTCCGGAGAGGAGAGGGAATACCAGGAATGAGCGATGACATCGAGAAATCAGTAAAGAAAAATTAGACCTTATCTTAAGTGGGTCCAAAACATCATCTGCTCTCCGTCGTAAACATGGCCTTTTACACGGTTCTCCTTCTTAGACATCTGTCATCCTTACAAGCATGCTTGTACCTGCCTAAGACCACTGATAGGTGTGGTGGCACCTACCAGACCCTCTGTGGGCATGATGTTGGTCAGGTGTACCACCTCCAGGTGGGCAGACTGCGACACCAGCGAGTCGGAGGACAGCGAGATGATGTGGTCACATATCCCAGACAGGGTTTTACACTGCGGACACAGGGGGGCGCTGTCACATGACATGGCTTCATATGCTCGCACCCATCTGCCTGCGATATCCACTTATTCAGTGAACCTGGAGCCAATCCCAGGAAGCACAGGGCACGGAAGCTGGCAGGATACAAACACAGGGACAACACACAAACTCCACATGCACACAGCCAGTGGTGGGATTTGAACCCACAGCCCTAGAGGTGATGGGCTACAACAACACCCACTCAGCCTCCAAACCACTTTACAACATTTGTGTCGTATGTCATTTCTTCTGGGTCTTTCCACAGGTATATGATTACACGCATCATTTTTATTGCCATCAATCCCTCCGGGCTGCCCCCCAAAGGCTGGGCCTGGTGCCAACGCCCTCCCGGACTGAGAGATGGAGTCATCAGAGGAAGACGGTACCCCTTTCTCCGAGGGAGGTGCCTCTACAGAGCCCCCGGCCTCGTTGTCGGCGCGTCCACATCAACAGGGAAAACGCTGCGCAAAAATATCTATAAATCTGGCCCGTTTCTTTAATGAGCAGGTAGAGGACGGGGGCCATTTTTCATGGCCGGCGGGCTGCCGTTCTTTGTGGGCCGGCCCGGCTGCGGTGATTAATAGGTGCCATTACGGGCCGCCGTTATCGCCGTGTGTGAACGGCCCGCTTGAAAGGGTTGGTCAGCAAGTTCTCCAAAGCGCACTCCCCACACCATCCCTCCCCCCACCAGCCGCAGTGAGATGACCGGGCAACCCCCCCCCCCCCCCCCCCTCCCAAAACACTGCACTGCCATCAAAGGGTGGCTGCAGGGGGGGTGACTTCACCCCATGTGGTATGGGGAGGGGCGTGGCCAGATGATGGCATGCCAGACGGTGGGTGAGTGCCCAGTTTTTCTCACGTGCGCGTGTAAGCCCCCCCCCCATCTGACTGCTGGAGGCAGGAGACCTGGGCTGGGGGGGGGGTTGGGGATAGCAGAAGTGAGGCTTTGCATTATTGAACATTGACTGTGAGCCGGAAAGCTCAAAAATGTCCTTTAAAGGAACAGGCAGGAGCACCTTTTAAAATAACCCAGACGGTGGCATGTCTGTGTGTGTGTGTGTGTGTGTGTGTGTGTGTGTGTGTGTGAGCGGGTTTACCTATCCTTATGGGGACATAATGTCCCCATAACGTGATAAATATCCGTTTTTTTTCCCATATGGTTTCCTGGGAAAACTGTATTTTATAAAAATCGGTGACTGCTATGAAAAAACTAAAAATGCAAAAACTCTTGTATTTTGTTAGGTTACTTATGGTTATGGTTAGGGCAGGTTGGGGGTTAAGGTTGTCATAGTTAGCGTTAGCATTTTTCCCATTGAAATGAATGAGCGGTCCCCATAAGGATATGTTTACCCTACATCTGTGTGTGTGTGTGTGTGTGGATTAGGTCTACATTACATTGTTGGGACCAAATGTCTCCCACAATGCAATGAAAACCTGTTTTTCTGACATTGTGGGGACCATTTTTCAGGTCCCCATAAAGATCTGTGAATGCAATCAAAAAAGCAAAAATGCCAAAGGTCTCATATTTGATTTGGTTACTTATGGTTAAGGTTAGGGCGGGTAGGGGTCCCTACAAAGATATAATTACAAACCTGTGTGTGTATGTACACTCATACTGACCCCCACACACTGACAGACACAATCATTTTTACAGTAATACTGACCCAGCTGACAGTCGCTTTAATGAGTCTGACACACTGACTACAATGGCAATGAGGAAGGGTCTCCTGTCACAGAGACACACACACACACACACACAGACCTGTACTCGTATCTTTGTGGGGACTCTCCATTCATTTCTATGGGGAAAACACTAATCCCAAGATGACGACCTTAACCCCTACCCAGCCCTAACCTTAACCATAAGTAACCAAACCAAATACGAGACTTTTGGCATTTTTAGTTTGTCGGTTGCATTCACATTCACATATAAAATTATTTTTTCCCTTGTGGGGCCCAAAAGAATGTCCCTATACATTTGGTCCCTACAATGTCATATAAACATCAGACACACACATGCACAGCAGGCTACCCTGCATCTGTAGTGACCCTCAGAGCTCAGAGTATGCAGCAGCCGGGAGGTCCAGCACTACCGTGTCACCAGATCCAGAGCAGGGCAGCGGTTCGCCCTCTAGTGGCCGAATGACAGTGATGGCTGGGGAGGAGTCAGGGAGGAGTGGGTGGGGTCGGAAACATGCAAACTCACGCACACACTTCCTGTGTTTGTGTGGACGTCCTGCTAACTCCCATTTATCATATACCAGCAAAATAACTAATAAATAATAAAAACGTGCTTTTTGGTCACTTTAGTTTGAAAAATGGAGGACGAAGAGGACAGAGAAACCTGTTGCCAAAGAAATTAACCGACATACGAGACCACCTGACTCAGCACGGCACAGAAGTAAAGGATCACAGACTGACACACAGACCACTGTGCCCATGAACACGTTCTCGCTTCGAATCCCAAAACGCGCGGCTCATAAAAATAGATCTATCAATTTGCTAAAGCAAGTTTTACAGACGTCACTTCACGCTATTCAGGGAAATGATTTATGACAGTGACTTCTAGCCTATGACAGCAGTGGGAACAACCATCCATTCCCTAAGTGCTTATTTCACGCACTACAGGCAATTTCGAGATGCCGGTGCATCGAAACTACCATTCGGGGGCCGTCCCATCAGAATCGTCAACCAATCGGTGCTTAAAGGGGCATTTAAAAGGCGTGGTCTTACGGAGCTGAGAGGACTTGAGCACCCAGCTGACTATGCTCGACATGCACACACACACGCATGCGGCAAGATCACAGTCCGGCAGGGGGCAGGGAGAGCACTCACCACATGAAGGATCTTGTTCTCCGTCTCGTAGACAGTGCAGTCCTGCAGGGGACACACACACACACACACACGGCTGAGAAAATGAGACTGAAAATCTTTCTGTTTACACATAAAGCAGGAGTCTTTTCAAGTAGGAGACGCCACATGTTACTATTTGACCAAGACGACGAATCAAATGTAAGACCGCCCCCCCCCCGAGTGGAGACCAATGACTAAACTCGGCATGCTGCTGCACCCCACACATTTGTCACGGTCGCACCGCGTGGGAGGGGCCAAGAGGGCATTGGGGAAGCCTCGCAGGGCACCGAGAGGCCAGAAAGCAAGGTCTGAGGGGGAAGCTCTTAGGCTGGGGGACGAGACCGGCGCCGTCCAGGAAAGTGATCTGTGAGGG